AAAAGCAAACAAGTTATATAAATTGGAAAAAAAATTCTTATGAAACAAGAAGAAAAATAATTTTTATGCCCAGAAACAAGCAGTTTCCTTAACTTATTTACAAGTGTCTTATCCATATTCAAATTCTAAAAAACCTATTTTAAATACTTTTAATCCTTTAATTCCTTGCAGCCATTAATACTTGAAAATCTTTGAGCTGCAGGCATTTTAAACCCTTTATTTAAGCTAGTTCAAACATCAATAGTTCTCTGGTCCAAATGAGATACCCTCTTATTTTCAAAATATGTGTTACTTCCCTTCCCTCCCCCACCCCCCCATTATTGTCAAGGTTTTAGTTGTGTCTGATCTTCTAATTTCAATATTTTCTGAATTGTAACAAATCTAATTTTAATCAATATCAATATAATCCAATGTTTGGAATTTGGAATACTTATTTATAGATTAATAATTTAAACTTCTTAAATAGATCATAAAAAGTATTATGCATTAATCCTCCTTAACACATTCCAATTTTAGGTGAGTCTGGCTCTGATGTATATCACAGCAGATGCAGGACAGCTTTAAATCATATGATGATCTGTCAGTTCCCCAGACAATGTACATAGCAGGTTCACAAGCATATAGATTAACCCTCATTATTTTTCTTTGTCCTCCCTCTCAAATTCCAAACAACTTAGAAGCAGAAGAAATCTTCAAGATATTCAAGTTAAGCTGGTGATATAACTATTTTTCATGCTGGGATTGTAAAAATTAACCACATCAAGGCCAATAAACATCTTTATGTTTACACAGGAGTGAAAAGCATTCTGAGCATGAACCGCATTTATGGAACTAGATTTAATCCTACTCTACACGATTCTGCTAAAACAGATATTATACACCAGATGCTAACATCAGTGCCAGAAAACACTGCCACAGCAAAGAAGAAGCTCAGCAAAGATAAATTTCGCAAGTAAATCCATGCCAACCATCCATCTAGGACTTGTTTATACATTATAGGAATCAGCTATTTTAAATATGTTGCAAATATATAATAAGAGAGAGAGAACACTTACGTCACCTCTGAGAGTAAAACATATGCTTTATTTTTACAACTTAAGATTGCTCCTTTAGAAATTACAAAGCTACACTGGAGTCCCAAGTTCATGTTCAATGCATGAAAGTAAAAATTTAACATCACCAAAAAAGGTGACATCAAAACGAGTTCAGTACCTATGAAGTTCTTTTCTATATAAGCCCTAAATGAACAATAATAACAAATGAAACTTAGTACTGACTTTTAAATGTGTGTGTGTTCCTCCTTGTGCAGATGTTTAAGTTCACAAAATCCCTGAGTCAGAAGTATTATCCTCTAGATGGGACCTGATGAGATGCATCCTAGAGCCCTGAGGGTTTTGAGTTGCCAAGCCACTGTCCGTGATATTTGAAAAATAATGGCAGTCAGGTGAAGTCCCTAGTGACTGGAAAAGGAAAACATTGCATCCATTTTTAAAAAGGGTAGAAAGGAGGACCTTGGGATCTACTGACCTGTCAGCCTCACCTCTGTGCCTGGGAAGATCATGGAGTAGATCCTCCTAGAAGCTATGCTAAGGCACATAGGAGGTGATTTGAGACAGCCAGCATGGCTTCACCAGGGGCAAGTCCTGCCTGCCTGACCTAGAGGCCTTCTATGATCGAGTGATTACATCAGCGGACAAGCGAAGAGATATGAATGTCATGTATCTGGCCTTCTGTAAGGCCTTTGACATGGTCTCCCACAAATTTCTCTATATTGGAAATGGGTGGACTGTTCGGTGGATGCGGAATTGGTTGGATGATCACATCCAGAGGTTAGTCGTCAACGGCTTGATGTCCAGATGGAGATCAGGGTGACAAGTGGTGTCCCTCAGAGGTCCGTGCTGGGACCAGTGCTGTTTAATACCATCATCAGTGACGATGGGGTCGAGTGCTCCCTCAGCAAGTTTCCAGATGACACCAAGCTGAGTGGTGTGGTTGACAGGCCTGAGGGATGGGATACCATCCAGAGGGACCTGGACAAGCTTGAGAAGTGGGCCCATGTGAACCTCATGAGGTTCAACAAGTCCAAGTGCAAGGTCCTACACGTGGGTCGGGGCAGTCCCGGGTATCAATACAGGCTGGGGGGATGAGGGGATCAAGAGCAGCCCTGCAGAGAAGGTCTTGGGGATACTGGTGGACAAAAAGCTGGACATGAGCCGGCAATGTGCGCTCACAGCCCAGAAGGCCAACTGTATCCGGGCTACATCAAAAGCAGTGTGGTCAGCAGGTTGACAGAGGTGATTCTGCCCCTCTACTCCACCCTGGCGAGACTCCACTTGCAGTGCTGCGTCGAGCTCTGGAGGCCTCAGCACAAGAAAGACATGGAGGTGTTGGAGTGGGTCCAGAGGAGGCCACAAAGATGCTCAGGGGGCTGGAGCAGCTCTGCTGTGAGGACAGGCTGAGAGAGTTGGGGTTGTTCCCTGGAGAAGAGAAGGCTCCAGGGAGACCTTAGAGCGGCCTTCCAGTGCTGAAAGGGGGCTACAGGAAAGGTGGGGGTAATCTTTAGCAGGGCCTGTTCCAACAGGACAAGGAATAACGGTTTTAAACTAAAGAGGGTAGGTTTAGACTAGATTTAAGGCAGAAATATTTTACAGTGGGGGTGGTAAAACACTAGCACAGGCTGCCCAGAGAGGTGGTAGAAGCCCCATCCTTGGAAACATTCAAGGCCAGGTTGGACGGGGCTCTGAGCAACCTGATCAAGCTAAAGATGTCCCTGCTCACTGCAGGGGGATTGGACCAGATGGCCTTTAGAGGTCCCTTCCAACCCAAAATATTCTGTCATTCTGTTATTCTATGATAGATGCTTTACATGTTCTTTGACAATTTATATTACTACTCTGCATTAGAAAAGTAACACGTAACTCCTCC